TCAGGCATCAGGGTTAATTAGTAATGCTTCAAATAATAGACTGCTGCTGTTTCTTGTACAGCTAACCATCAATTAGCTATGCTAATGAAGAAAGCAGTAAATGATTGCAGGGGAAAGTGAAATCCAGAAGAAAAAAAAAAGACTCATTTTAATTTTTAGTTTCAGCCTTTCCATTACTTGATAAAACTTTCTAGAGTGACTTACAAGTAAAAACTTAATCTCTTTGTGAAAGAGTTGGGATATTAATAAAAAATACATATATTAATTTCTCAGATGCCTTTTCCTTTTCAAGACTGTCCCTAGAGCAGCTGTACCAAAAAATAAACAAGAAACTCACTGCCATTGAATCAATTCTGATTCATAGTGGCTCCTGTTGGGTTTCCAAAACTATAAATCTTTTTTTTTTTTTTTTTAACTGTGATTTGGGTGAAAGTTTACAGAGCAAATTCATCTTCCATACCCAAGGCTATAAATTTTTACAGAAGTAGATTGCCCCATCTTCCTCCTGCAGAGCAGCTGGTGGATTTGAACCATCAACCTTCTGGTTAGCAGTCAAATACCTTAGGCTCTATGCCACCAGAGCTCCTTAGAGAAGCTATAGCCAAGTAATAAAATGACCAGAATATGAGCAGCGTAAACTTAGAGACAAAAAGCTGGTCAGTGGTTCTAATATTATAAACAATTGGGAAGAGCTAAGAAAAAAAAAAAAAACAAGCAAGCAAACAAAGAAACACATCAATGCAGAGTTCTCATTCTAGACCATTTAAATAAAAATCCACTTCAAGTTAATTCCAGTTGCTTCCTGAGTGTTTGCTTTGCTCTGAATTCTCTTGTTGGACAGAGAATGACTTAGGAAAATCACCTCTGGTTCTTCCAGACCTTGCTCCTCACTTCACTCCCAGATAGGAGAACATTTATGGGCATGGGGTGAGGAGAGCACCTGTTCTCAAATCAATTCTGACTTATAGTAGGACAGAGTAAAACTGTCCCATAAGGTTTCTAAGGCTGTAAGTCTTTATGGAAGCACACTGCCTCATCTTTTTCGTGCAGAGTAGCTGGTAAGTTCTAACAGTCAAACTTTTGATTAGCAGGCAAATTAACCACAATACTACCAAAACTCCAGAAGCTTTATAGTGAGTCTTAAAGATGTCTCCTGTTGATCCAGTCTCTTTAAGTATTTTCTTAATGGGTCTTTTCTATATCTAGGATTTGGATAATTTGGATAATTTTCCAAAAGGAAATCTCCCTTAGTATGTGGAAATGTAAGGTATCTGAATATTACTTCCCAAGTGCCATGGTGGTTGTGGTGTTAAGAGCTGCAAGTCAATTATATGCTTAGTGACTCCATGTGACAAAGTAGAACTATCCCTTAGGGTTTTCTTGATTTGGTAATCTTTACAGGAGCAAATTGTCAGTTCTTTCTCTCGCAGAGCCAGTGGATGGGTTCTAACTGGCAACTTTTTGGTTAACTTAACCACTGTACCACCAGGACACCTCTTAGTGCCATGATAGATGGGGGTAATAATGGTGGTTCAGTGGTAGAATTCTCACCTTCCAAGTGGGAGCCCCAGGTTTCATTCTTGGCTGCATTGCACTTCATGTGCTGCTGTCACTCACCTGTCAGTGGAGGCGTCCATGTAACTATGATGATGAGTAAGTTTCATTGGAGCTTCTAGACTAAAATAGACTAAGAAAGGCCTAGCAATGCTCCAAAAGTTAGCCAGTGAAAACCCTAGGGACTACAACTTGATCTGCAACCATGGGGTTGGTGCAGCACTGAGCAACATTTCCTCCTGTTGTGCATGCGGTTACCATGAATCAGGGCCCACTTGACAGCACCCAATAACAACAAGCCATGGTAGATATTTATATTTTAAAAAAATCCATAACAAAACAACGACAGCAACAACAACAACTGTGAAAAAATTATTGAATGGAAACTGCAGCTCCCCAGAGAGCTCCAGATGCCAGACCCCTGAAAATTGTTCCAAGTTCTTCATGATCCAAGTAGTTTTTATTGGCTGATTTTCTTGGAAGTAGTTCCAGACTTTCTTCCCAATCTGTATTTGTCTGGAAGCTCTGCTGATATCTATTTACAGCACCCTTTACAGGAGATCTTGAGTATTACTTCTGATATTTGCCTGGTTTCCTACAAGAAAGCCTTAGTAGTATAGTGGTTAAGGACACCACTGCTAAATGACAGGTTGGCAGTTCGAACCCACCAGCTGCTCCACAGGAGAAAGATGTGGCAGCCTGCTTCCAAAAAATATTTACAGCCTTGAAAACCCTGTTGGGCAGTTGTACTCTGTCCTATAGGGTTGCTATGGGCAGGAATCAATTCTAGAGCAATGGGTTTGGTCCACCTATAGGAGGTGGACAGGACAAATGGCTCAGCATATATAGCCCTGAAAAATTATTGAATACAGTGTCAAGCATTAGTTAGAAAGGGTAATCTGTGTGAAATCACCAGGTTGGTGATCCTATTTTGTAATAAATACTGGGAAAAGGAAAAACAAGACAATGTCAGAAGTAATAATCAAGATATCCTATAGGTATCAGTGGTGATTAGGTTTCAGTGGAGCTTCCAGACAATACATACTAGGAAGAAAGGTCTGGAGTTCTCATTCCAAAAAGTTAGCCAGTGAAAACCCTTTTGATCACATCTGTTCTGGTTGTGCACAGGGTCACCAGGAGGCAGGGGCTGACTCAACAGCAGCTCACCCCAACAGCAGCTCACCCCAACAGCAACTGCAGGGATGTGGGATGTGGTTGGATAACTCATGGCATATCTCTGATGGGCTTTCTTGTATATGCAGAAAATAGTTTGAAGTATTATGACAGCAAAAATGCTCAAAACAGAAGGTTAAGATAAAAGAACAAGCTACAAAATTGTATATATGGTGTGACTCAATTCTGTAAAATAAAATACATGTTCTTACACACTGAAAAAAAATGTATGGACATATTTCTCCACCTTTTGTACTCAGCTCTTTCCCCACCAGGGGTGATATGTTTTTCCTCTTTTAAACCAAGACTCATTCCTCAAAAATCATGAAGTTTATTTTACCTTCTTTCAAATATCTATGGAAACTTTTTCTTTTTAGTAGCTAACTTAACATTGATTATTTACTGTGTGTGCTGTGCTAAAAAATTTATATATATATATATATAAATTTAACCTTTGCAACATCAATACAAGGTAGATGTTACTGTTATCCCCATTTTACCAGTAAGGAAAGTATGGTTTCTTTTGAGTAACTTGCTTAATATCACACAAGTGGTAACAGACAAAGCTGAAGCCCTGAACACATAGCTGTTTGTTCCTAAGCCATTTGTCCTCCATTATTTTTAAACGAAGTCTGCACACATTCACAATTTGTTCAGATTTTCTTAGTTTTTTACCTATTGTCATCTTCCTGTTCCAGGATCCCATCCAAGATACCATATTACATTTAGTCACTATGCCACTAGGCTCCTATTGGCTGTGACAGTTTTTCAGACTTTCCCACACACCTTGCATTTTGTTTCTCTAATGCATTTTCTACAATACCTCATCACTGACAACACTGTATCAATACCATAGCCACTATAATTTACTATATATGGCTCTGATCATTACAGTAACCCTTCAAAGCAGAAATTATAATCTTCATTTTTATAGATGAGAAAACTGAGACTAGGAGAGATGAAAAATAATTATTGAAGATCACAAAACTAGCAAGTGATTGAGTCAGGATCCTAACTTAGGACTGTCCGACCATGAGTGCCATATTTTTTACTACTCTGTCTTATATGGCATATGGCATGTGTGTGTGTACATTTGAAAGCTGACATCAGAGTCAGAAGTGCCATAAAGATGATTTATATCTGATTCACCCCTCCCCCTCATTTAATGTTCAAGCTCCTTCTGTAGACTCCCCAACAAAAGTTTCTAAGCATATGGTCAAAAGCCATCAGGATCAATTAATCTACTACCTCACAAAGCAGGTTTTGAACAGTTCTGACAAATACAAAAAGCTCTGTGTTCCTCCAAATGATGTTTGCCCTTTGGTCTTACTGAACCTTTGAGCCTTCTACTCGAGAATTTTGAGTAGAGGAACAACATATCACCCCCTGGACTCTCTTGTCCTAGCAGAGGCATAGTTTGAACTTCCCTCAGCATCCTAATTACCGTAGTTTAAACCCCTTGTGGTATCTCTATTTAGTTGAAAATCCTTAGAGTGCAATATGGTATAGAAATGAGTATGTTGTGTACAACCAAGGTTCAATAATTGCTGTTGACTATCTTCTTACTAAATGTAACCTCCTAACATCAGGAGTACCTCTTTTTACCCACCCCCCACCCCCACCTCTGCCCCGGCCCCAACTACATTACTAAATTGTAAGGTCTAAATGGCTCTACTTCCATAGTGATACTGCCTCGGAAACCCAAGGAGGGGTCGCTATGAGTCGGTTCCGACTCGACGGCACATAACAACAACAACAACAAAGGGCTCTAACACTGACACCTCTTCCAACTCTTTAAAAGGATAGCTCTTGCTAGAAAACCTCTAGAGACACATGTTTGGAAGGTGAGGCAAACGTAAGGGCCATTTTTTCTCTGAGTTTGACAAACAAGTTCAAAAGCAGAGGCAGCGAGCCGTGGACAGCGGGAGACAGCTCCTCTCTCCGCGAATTCCCCACAGAGCTGAGACAGACAGGAGCTCCCCTGAGGATCCGAGGCCTGAGCGCAGGGCGGGGCAGGAGCCGATGCGCCAGGTGTGGGGCGGGCTTGGAGCAGCTGCTTTCACTGATAGCCCGCGGTGGAGGCTCAAAGTCTGCTCCCGGACGTCGCGGCGCCACCAGCTGCTTCGCCAGCCGCCGTCATCCCTGCCCTACAAACAGGTCTCCAGAACAAATCAGAAAGCAAAAGAAGCAGGCGTGAGAGTCAGAAAATATCATAAAGGAGTTAGAGTTCTCTAGGTGTTCGCCTATCTATACTTGGCTTCGTGCTCAGTACCATGGACAGCGCCAGCGCCGCTAGACCCATGCGCCTGGACGCCGCAGGCTTCTGGCTGGTCTGGCAGCGCTTCGACGCGGATGGTGAGTAGAAAAAGCCACTTGGACATTCAGGTGTAGATGCGGCCCTGCGGCCGCCCCGCTGAAAGCACCTAGATTTTCCGCTTCCTGAACTTCTTTGCCTTAAGGGAAAGGTATCTGTTTGCGCAGTTACTGACCTAAGCTTAATGTCTTTGAGCTGGTTTCGAATATCTAGATAACGTGTGTAAATTCAGACTAAGAGAAGGGACTTACCTCTTTTCCCAAGATCTTTGTGTGTGTGTATCTTTTATAGATAGATAACATATATTCAAATATATACAAATATACCTATATGTGAATATATATTCATATGTACATATATCCATCTACTTAGAGATATAGATTCTAGTCTTTTAGACTGATATTCAGCTATCTGAATGAACCCTAATGTGCTCATTTTCATTCAGTGACTTTTTTTATAAACCCCCAATTCTCTTGAAGAGAGGGTGATTTTATTAAACTTCAAAAAGAAAAAAAAAAAGCTAATTGAAAAGAAAAGTGGAACTTCTTAATGTTTGCTTTGTTTTTATTACTAATTAAAGTACAAAAAAAATCTAAAAGGCATGTTTTAACTCTGCAAACTAGAATGCAATAGGTGCATTGTTAATTTTTTCCAACCATCTAAAATACTTGGGTTGGATTTTATTCTAAAATTCATACTTATTCATTAATTATGTATTTAAAATCTCTTATTTTCTAAATGTTAATATAATGCTCAGTATAAAGGATTTACTCTGAAACTTATGACTACTGGTAAAAATCTCTGTCTTCAATATGCAGATGTTGGCACTTGATAATTAGGATAGCAAAGAACCATATTCACAGGGATTTTATAAACTGTGAAATTAATGATGAATTTAGATGAATACTAAAATGCTGTATGTTCTTCTAAATAACTATTATTTGTGTATATCTTCTTATGTTTAGAAAAAGGTTACATAGAAGAGAAGGAGCTTGATGCTTTCTTTCACCACATGTTGATGAAATTGGGTACTGATGTAAGTACTTGCACCACTAAGCATTCAGTGTCTCTTAGTGAAATGCAATAAGCATCCAAGTTCTGTGTTGATTTGCACCTATTTATCCCATCTGACCTCTTTTCTTCCCTTCATGCGTGTACTTTCTTTTCCTCTCCTAGCAACACAAGGGATTTAAGCAGGTTTTATGAAAGGTACAACTGTAGCATTAGACATGCTGGTCACTGAATTTCCATCTAACATCTGTCATCCTCTCAGAGATCACAAATGTAGATTTAAACAACTCTGTTTTGAATGTCTCCATGGTTATGTCTCTGCTGATGGATTTAAACCTGGAGATAAGGTAGCCATTTTTTGTTCAGAAAGGTAGAAGAAATATTAAGAGTTTTAAGATTCTAGATGTTTAGTGCATGTGATACTCTTTTTTTATATATAGAAAACCACAAACAAAATCATTTAAAGTATTTTTTCATGATTAATTTTATTTAAAGAGGTTACAGATTTCTTAGAGAATGACAAATCAGAGAGTAACAATACTTTCAGAACCCAACTGTCTCTGATCTCTTACTCCTCTGTTTCTCCATTTCTGTCTTTTTCCTATCTCTGTGTTTCTCCTTCATTCTATCTCTAGCCTATCTCTCAGAAATCTTTGTCCCCCCTTTCCCTGTGTCTGTCATATCTCTTTTCTTCTTTCTCTCACTTCCACATCTCTGTCTCTTGTGTCTATTTCTTTTTGTCTTTCTTTGCTCTCATCAGTTTTTCATTTCTCTCCCTCTCCCTTCCCTCCTCCTCCTCCTTCTCTCTCTCTCTCTCTCTCTCTCTCTTATTTTTCTCTGTTCTTTTTCTGTTTGCCTTCTCCTCTCCATCATCCCCTACCCATGTAGCCTATGAAGTGAAGGGAGGCAGGTATGAAGGATGGAGAAATGTACCCCTTCTTCCCTCTGGTTCAGACCATTCAAATACACTCCTCTCTATTCTTCATTCCTGTGCTTATACCAGTTATGAGTAGAGCCAAAGAAGCCTCCTCCAGGTGAGATTCACCTTCAGTCTGCTGCTCAGTATGACACATTTATCAACCCATCAGTGACACTAATAGCCTTGCCCACAGAGCTCCCATTTCCTGTTGTAAATCCTAAGACTCAGAAGAATCTAGGATGCTATGAATCTGATGCATTTTGTCAAGTATGGATAGGGGTATTCAAGGAAAACAAAAAGATGAAGATAATACCATTTGAAGTCTGGGAATAAACTGGATGGTTAATTACTGAAAATCTAAATCCCTAGAAGCCCAGAACTTAGAATGTTTTCAGAAGGCTGCCTACTTTAGTGATCTATAGGAAAGGAGGAGAATAGTTGCTGTCAGTGTCAAAAATGGAAATGTCTTATTTTCAGTCATGGGGGATGGTTACTTAAACACGAAGTTCTGTTCTAAACTGACTGACACTGTGAGATGTCTTCCTCTGGGGCTTTGGCTAGCTTGAGAGGGATTGAAGCCATTATTGGGAGCATTTCTTTTATCTTGGCTGCTCTTTTAATTGCCCTTCCCTAAGGTCCCACTTGTGGGCTAACCCCCTCATATAGGCACAACCATGTTCCTTGGAGAAAGGGAGACAGCAATGATACACCAGTGTACTGTGCCACTGTGTTCAATGCATGTTTTCCTGTGGCCAAGACAATGGGTTGGAAGATTGCAGAGCTTTTATATCAGTGGAAATAAAATTTTGATTTCCTTAAGAGTTATCTGTATTTGGTAAAATGTGGACACCTGGGTCTCATCCCCTAGGTATTTTGGTTCAGTACATCTGGGGTCTGCCTAGGATCCTGCATTTTAAGTGTTCATTTGTTTATGTGTTTATTTGGGGACACTCCGTATGCTATGGTGTTGAGTTAGCTGTAATCTTTATGGAAGCTGCTTGCCAAGCCTGGATCTTCTGTAGTTGTGATGGGTGGGTTTGAACAGGTAACCTTGGGTTACCAGTCAAGTGCAGACAATCTGAGCCACCCAGGTATCTTTAGGATCCTACAGTTTAAAAGTGTAAGTCACTTTGCATTGCTTTCCACCCTTTGTCCCTCCAAGAATGGTGACAGCCTGATAGGGAAAGGATTCTAATCAGGGAAGCCCCTCAGAGCTGATAGGGTAGCTCCAGGCACCTCTCCTCAGAAGCTGGTTAAGGAAAGAGATTTTGGAGCCAGGGTAATAAGTTGTTTAAACTGTTAACCCAAAATAGTATCATCTACCAATGGTTCCCTTTTGAAATGTTGAGGTATTGCCCTGGGGAGTCTGGATACAGGGACACTCATATAGACAACAATGATTGAGGAAATGACTCCTAATTCTGGGCATTTTTCCTGCTGAATAATAAGTGATACCCATTGTCATTGAGTTGATTCTGACTCATAGTGCTCAACGTGTGTCAGCGTAGAACTGTGCTCTGTAGGATTTTCAGTGGCTGGTGTTTTGGCAGTAGATCTCCAGGCCTTTCTTCTGAGGTGCCTCTGAGTCACTCCAACTGCTAACCTTTCAGTCAGCAGGTGAGAATGATGTTTGCAGCACCTAGGGACTCAGTGTAATGAGTAGATCCTAAGATAATCCTTAATAATAGAGCAGAACTTCAGAAATGGATGCTCCTTTAGCTGAAGACAGTTCCCATTTTTTTGTGACACCTACTTTTGATGAGTGATGCCCGAACAGCTATAGAAGTGGGCAGTCAGTGAGGCCTCAAGGATGAGGTAGCCTCACCCTTGGTGTTTAGGAGCAATAAGAAGCTCTTCAGAGGCCTAAATAGCCCTCTGTTCCTGTGCAGATTAGCAGTCACAGAGACCCCACAGGAAGGGATTTGAGGTTTCTAACAGCAGGCTGCTTGTTAATCAGTCTCAGAGAGTAACCAGCCTGCTTATAATTATCTGCTTTTTATACCCTTAAAGGGGATTGACTTAATGGAGCCATTAAATCTTTTGCTTTGTTTTATTTTCAAATGCTGGGAATTGATCTCTAAACTGTATCTAGATCTAGCCAGCCCATTGAGAGCACCTGTTTCTCTGGCTGTGCACACATTTCACATGTACAGACTGTTCTACATCCTGGGCCTCATTCAATGCTGCAGAGATTCTAAGTACCCTGCTGGGGCCTAGAGTCTCAGATGAGATGTGCTGGGTTGGTGCTAGTGGGGGAATTGTGTAGAGGGAGCCAGGGTAGCTCTTTTCTCAGGGTTAGAGGTCTGAGAGGCCCTAAATCAACACTCTGTGCTCTCAAACTCAAGATGGCCCATAGAATCTCGCCACAGGTTCTTCAACTTCACACTTATTTATTTTGACATCTAATTTTCCAACAATATAGGCTATGGTGGTTACCTTCCCCAGGGAAGAACCTGCCCACAATAAACACTCATTTGTTCATTCCACAGGTACTATGCTACAGAGACACAGAAATGATTGCTGTCCTGGCAGAGTTCTTAACCTAGAAGGCCAAATCAAAATGCAAAGTGAAGGCTCACCCTGTTGAGTGATTTCCCTGTACTTTTTCTGTATGGTGCACGTATACACATATACACCAAAATGCAAACACACACAATCTGTGCTGCTGAGAGCAGAGATGTAATCTCTTTGTTTAGTGGAATGTCACATGAGGAAACTTGGTTGGCAGGAGATTTTGGAGTCTCAGGATAGCTGTTCACCTTCAGCAGAGGGAAAATGTGTAGGCTGTCTCTTTGAAGACCCACTCCAAGGTTCTTTCACTGTGTGTAAGAAATAGGACTGGATGTGGAGACAGAAATCTGGTGTGGATATTAGCTCTGCACTTATAACTGTATAACACTGATATTCAGTTAAACTCTCTGGGTCTCAATTTTTTTAATCCATAAAATGGAAACAATAATATTTTTGGCCTGCCTATCTCACAGGGACATGATAGAGACCAATGGCACAACACAAATGAAACATGCTTTGTAGCTACAAAAGTGTCCACTGTATACATGTTTCTATGGTGATATGGTGTCCCCTTGGGTCCCTTGTTGTTCCTTTTTCTATTCTGGACACCATTGGCCTAAAACCCACCAAAAGGTTACCCCATACAGGGATAATTGAAGCTTACTCTCCTAATTGCTAGAAATCTTTTAAGATTTAAATCAATATAACTATTAATAGGATTTCAACTTTGCAGGAGAAAATTTCCCAAGCTAGGGTAGCCTTTGGAAGACCCCTTAAATCACATACATCTTCACCCTCATGACCAAATGAGGCATTATCCATAATCCATAATAGTTAGTAGACAGCCTATCACCTCAGGGATCTTCTGACACTTGCTCAGCCTTGTACAATTGACCCAAGTGTTATTTCCCATTTCTTCACTTGAGATTTTGTTTTCAAATCATGAATGTCTCATAGTTTTAATTTTATGTGTGTTCATTTAGGAAAGTATTAATTTTTTAACTAGGCGTTGACTATTCCCCATTAATAATCATCAGGTGAATTCATTTAATGTATTTACAAAATCAATCTATCAAAGCCCTTTTATTTTAATCATTTTGTGGTTCTTAATATAGGACCAAAGCCATCAATACAGCAGATGGCTAGAATACCAAATTCCATTTGATTAATATGTTTTCTCACAAATGTTAGTGGTTTGGGTTTGCCTTTTTTTTTCCTTAAATTTTACATAATAGATGCTATGTTTAGTTGTTATCCACATAACCCTTAGTTGTTTGCAAAAAGACTCACCTTCACTGCAAAAACTTGAAAACCAAACTCATTGCCATTGAGCTGATTTGGACTCATAGTGACCCCCTTTAGGTCACTATGGCAGTAAATCTTTGCAGAAGTAGATTGCCCCAATCTTCATCCTGCAGAGTGGCTGGTGAGTTTGAACCACCAACCTTCTGGTTAGCAGTCAAATGTCTTAGGCACTGTGCCACCAGAGCTCCTTAAGGTACATACAATAGTTCATAATAACAAACCTTCAAGGAAGCTTATTCTAAATTGTTTATTCTTCATTCCTAATGTCCAGTATGGACTATACAAGCCAT